AGCAAACGCGCTAAAAAAATACATAATAAACCTTGTTGCATCCATTTGGAGAGAAGGAAAACTCACAGACAGTTGGAATGTAGGTATTATAATACCTATTCACAAGAAAGGGGATCCACTAATATGTGACAACTACCGAGTCACTACCCTCTTAAATACGGCTTACAAAGTACTGACTTATATACTATATGATCGTTTATTAGTATATACTGTATTGTTCTGAAGCTATTTTTCTTGTGGCATTGTAAATTAATTACTATTTATAACTGGGAATAAGCCACAATTAAAGATAAAAATACGTTTATTGACGTTTCAATTTCCAATTCGGAAATCGTTCTCAAAATACAAACAGTAAATTAAACAAATTTTGTTTTTTGTTTTTAAAAAAAAAAACAAAATTTGTTTAATTTACTGTTTGTATTTTGAGAACGATTTCCGAATTGGAAATTGAAACGTCAATAAACGTATTTTTATCTTTAATTGTGGCTTATTCCCAGTTATAAATAGTAATTAGTATATACTGAGGAAAAAATACGCAAATACCAATGTGGATTCCGAAAAGAAAGGTCAACAATTGATCCCCACCACCTTTTCATAGATTTTAAAAGCGCTTATGACAGTGTAGACAGAAGCGCACTTTATAATGCCATGGCAGGACTAGATATTCCGTCGCATCTAATAACGAGTCCTGGACTGTGAATAAAATCGATCTAAATCGCCTTGAGGCTTTCGAAATATGGTGCTATAGAAGAATTTTAAAAGTTTCCTGGGTGGAGAAGATTCGTAACTCCACAATACTTGAACGTCTCAGCAAGACCACTGAGATCATAAAAGCATCAAGCAGAGAAAGCTGGAATATTTCGGACATGTAATGAGAGGTCCCAAATATAGATTGCTACAAAATATCATGCAAGGAAAAATAGCAGGCAAACGCAGTCCAGGACGAAGAAGAACCTCATGATTGAAGAACTTGCGAGATTGGTATGGTGTAGATACAAGCATGCTATTTAGGGTGGCAGTGAATAAAATTAAAATAGCTATGATGGTAACCAACGTTCTGAAAGGACATGGTACATGAAGAAGAAGAAGATCTAATAACATTGGTAAAGGCAAGTCTTTCGAAAGTTGAGTGCAAAGTCAAGGTACAAAACAGAGTGTCAAGGTCTTTTAAAACACATACTGGATTACGCCAGGGAGACAGTCTATCGTGCTTATTGTTTAAGATCGCGCTAGAAAGAGCCATAGAGAAATCGGGCATAACGACCAGAGGTACGATCATCAATAGAAGTGTACAGATATTGGCCTACGCAGATGACATTGACAAAAAGAGACCTGATACAGGCTTTTGAAACATTAGAAAAAACCGCCAATGGGACTGCAGGTCAATGTATCCAAAACAAAATACATGAAGGTCACGAACAGCACACAAATAGCGACACCACAAGATCTGCTGAAAGAAGCACACACATTCGAAGGGGTCTCGGAGTTTATATATCTTGGAACACAACTAAATAACAACAACCTAGTAGGCGTAGAAATTAAGAGAAGAATATGCCTGGCGAACAGAGCTTACTTTGGACTAAAGCAGTTCTTAGCATCACACATAATTAACAGTAAAAAGCGGGATATGGCGAGGCGTTCCAATTTTGAGTTGTATCAATACTATGAAAAATGCAACATCGTCCGGTAAATTAATAGACTAAGAATGGAAAATAAAGATCCCCAAAGAAAGATGTTTTATCTAGAGCCAGTAGGAACTAGGAAGTGAGGTAGGCCAAAATCTAGATTTAAAACTTAAGTCGAAGATGACTTGAGGAAATTGGAAAGTCAGGGCGAAAGATAGGGATAATGGAGACTAATTCTTGAACAGGCCAAGACCCACCCAGGGTTGTAGAGCCAAAGATGATGATGTATACAATGAATAGCGACGGGGACATAATACATCCCTGCCTAACTCCTCCCATGTATTTACACAACAAATGCTACTTTTTACACAAAAATGTATAGTTATTATAAGAGATGACATCATATTCAAGATAATCCACGTGTCCGATAGGTGTTTGACATTTAAACTTAGGACTTTGGCCATAAATATGAATAAAGTAAGCTACGAGGCACTTTATCACTTTATTATACGAATGTATTATCTTCCCTTTTAAATAATTTCGCAATTTATAACGTTCGCACTAAAGCCAACAATTTACATAATGTACAGAAGGACGCAGGTGTCTTGGTGACAATAACTTTATGCTATATAAAATTAACGAAATCGTAATCATCGAAAATCTAAATTATAGTTAATATTAAGAGAGTGGGAAGTTAATAATAAAGTGACTGAAAAGTGGCGAAATAAACTATTTCTTTCCAGAAAACTTGGTTTGAATTATACGAACTTGTGCATAAATTGTACTGAGAAGAAGCAGAGTAGAAAATATGCTGCAACCTCGGTACAGTTACGTTTGACAACGACAGTGATTCTGAAGATTGTATTTAAAGACTGATTTAATAAGTGAAGACAAACAACATGCAACAAAAATGTTCAGAGCTGACAGTGAAACCAAATGAATGAACCAAATTTTAACTTTTAAACCAATGTATGCAAAGGAAATAAAAAAAGTAAAGTTCAATAAACATTGCAAAATTCAATAAGACAAGTGATGAAAAATTGACTTATTTTACAAAAGGAGTAACGCAGATTAGATTAATAGTGTATATCATATTTGTAGGAAAAATAGAATAAACATTAATATTGTTAATTATAAAAATACAAACAATTATAATTATTATTATAAGGAATAAAATAATATAATGTGTAAAATTTAATTTATAAAATATATAAGTATTATTACATCATAAAATGAAAAAAATTTGTTGATTTTCCAGGAGGGTGAAAATTATGTCATCATTATTAATACTGCGACAGACTATTCCAGCCAAATTAAAAAACAGTAACGGTGAATTTCAAATGGACTCAATTTTTCCGAGGTTTCCCATATTTTCCGGCCAGCAAAAACTATGCAGTTATTCATATTTCGACGAGCTACCCCAGAATAAAAAAGAGGATTCCAGCTGCAATGGAAGCCGAAATAATGTAAATTTTTCCTACGTGTTTCAATTTGAAGTTCCGATGTCAAAAATAAAAACGGAGCTGAAACAGCTATCCTCTTCACTTTTCTATGTTGATCCTTCGAAAGTACCTTTGTTTCGAAAAATTAGATGAATTTTATAGCTATAAGTTTCAATATAAAGTTTAGATTTTCATTCAAAATTTGTGCAAATTATATTTGTTCTTAATTTTTATAAACAATGGAGATATGATGTTTTTAAAAATAGCCGCTAACTTCGTTTCTATTGGTCATAGAAGGTTTTTTTTGTTAAATGTGAGTTTTTTTACCAGCTATCCAATGGTTGTACGTACAAGTCTGTAGCTTGAAAAATATAGAAGTTATTACAATTGTTTATAAGTAAAAAACATTCCCCTTATTCAAACGTTTATTTAATAAATAATTTAGATGAAAACGCAATATGTATTTAACTTCTGAGATAGATTAAGTGTTAAAAAATCTTATGAAATTTGCTAAATGTGTCTAGCATCATTTATAGGGTAAGTTCAATAGTTTAAATAATTAGCTTCAAGGATAATTAAATTAAATAACTTTTAAACTATTTGGCCGATCTGGGGGAAATTTCGCACAAAGTTAAATGACGGTAATTCCTCGATGTTTAAATGTATTAATAACATTTTATTTTATTAAACATTTGTGTAAAATTTATAAATTAGTGCAAAAAATTGCTTTTTTTGCAAATATCTTCGTAAATTATTTATCAATTATAATTGAAAAAACGGGAAAATAAAAGGGAGAAAATTTATAGACAAAAAATCAAAAAGACCATAAATTATTGTTAAAAAAAAACGCAATACATACTTTTATTTTCTATTTTTTTTGTTCTTTTTTTTGCTTTGTTTGTTCCTTTTTTAAAAATTTTTGTGTGTGTTTTTTTTATATATACATATACACATATATAGGGTATGTAAATCGTATGATTTAAAAATGTTAAATTGAACTGATTTAAGCGAAAAGTTGTTCAAATTTTTCAAAACAAATTCTAATACTATATACTAATACTTCTAATATCAATTTTTTTGATCCAGTGAATTTTTTCTTGAATAATTTTGAACAAAATAGGTCTCTTGTAGTTTTTCTGTAAACTTGATGTTGATTCGGAAATCGTTCTCAAAATACAAAACATTGTAAAAAAGTGGACATCGAAAATTCACATTACACAAGTAAATTTGTGGATTATTCTCAATACAAATTACTCCAAAAACCAAAAGCCAACCAACTGCACACTTCAGAACCAAGCTGCACTATTATAGCCTATTAATGCATGAACTTGAGTGTGTATAAATGTAAATTTTGTTTAAAAATATGAGATAAGTGGACGCTGTCTCTCCATTTCCTTATTTAGAAAAACTTATGTGTAATAAAAAATTTAAACCATAAATGTGGGAGTTTTATTGTCGTCGTATAAGTGTATCTCAATATAAACGAAGGTATTTCTCCAAGAAACTATTCACATTCTTATATGCAACGCATTTTCTAGGAGCGTAGGCCTAACGGCACTATACCTATACTGCTTGTTATTTTTATAATATGCCGTGCAGCTATGGCTTTTGATAACTAGGAATAGAGATTGTGGCAATGAGACAACAAATAGACTACGATAAAAGATTATAGACAACAATTTTGTAGATGCAACAAATGGTGTTTATAGATAGCAATTACAATTACTCAATATCAACACAAAGCTTCCATCAAGTGACGTCATAATATAGCGGAAGAACTGGGGATGACGTGAGATATGTCACAGAGAATATGGCGAATGTTATCCTTAACAAAACATCCGGTGCTCTACGATAATAAAAACAAAGCTAATAATAAACACAAACGACCGACGTGTTAAAATCGCTAAAGAGTTACAACAAAAACAGTACTTACCAAAGATATGATCGTTTCAAACAAAATTAAATACCACAGTTGAGGATTCGGAATTATCTCTATGACAATTAGTATTACGGTGAATAAATAGGCAGTGAAATTGTCTTTATTAACGACACAAGTGCACTTTATGGTATTATAAGGGTATTGAAAAGTTATTTAACCAAATGTCTAAGTAAACAAAAATATCCATTCTCCCTCCACACCCGACGAGACACACACACTACACACCTCCTGTCCGACCAACTGAAACGAAACCAACCTGCCTGCGCTGATAGTTCCTAAGGAATTGCAGTGCAGAGGGACACCGTTATTGCGGAACGCGATTTTGGAACGTGGCTTTCTGCACGCTCCGGTGCATCAATTGCACTCAATCGTGTCCTTCATCCTAATCTTTTTCCTGTTTACGCTACACAGGATTTACCGATCTGATTTAGGTATTATCTCGCAACTTGAAGCATCCGATGAGAAATATATGGATGTTTTGACTTCGATGATTTCAAACTTTCTTACAATGTAATAAAATAACTCAGGTGCAATGAACTTAACAATATAAGAACGGAATTTGCTAAAAATAGATAAAATGTTACATTTTAGAGAAAATCATCCTCTTCTTTTTTTTCTTTTTTATCTTTTAGTAACCAATTACCTATCTGTTACGAATGTTGGACACGAACGTGACCTTATTTATCGCTGCCCTATTTCTGTCTTCTTCTCATGGCGCCGTCTTCTTTAGAAGGTTGGCGATCTAAATGACATTGTTTGGTAACAAAAAGTTTACCACAAGGATCTGTTGTATCGCTGCTACTTTTTACCAAGTATACCTATGACTTTAGCGTTAAGGTTAAGCGTCGCAATATTAGAGTTCATCCATTAATACTGGTATCATCAGCAAAAAGAAAATTTTTTCCATCGATTTTTAATTAGTGATGTATTTTATAAAGATAAGCAAAAGTAGAGCCAATACTAAACATTGTGGTACTCCAAGTACAATGATTTTGTGACTAGAGTCGTATCGTTTGCTCTAACTACTTAGTTGCTTATTATTCCTCAAGCAAGATTGGAAACAATTCAAAAAAATACTTCGAATTCCGTGGAAATTTAGTTTTTTTATTAAAATGTCGTGATTTACACAATCAAAAGCTTTGGCATAGTCACAAAAACAGTGGTAGTGTAAAGAATATTGTTGAGTGCTACATAGACCTCAGGTAGTACAGAAAACGTAGCATCATTGGTACATTTATTAGATAAAAAGCCAAACTGACTTTCTGATAAAATGTTGTTTTCAACGAGAAAGGTGGGGCTTTTACACAGAAGTCCTAGAGTCTTTAATCTTAAATTAAGTTCAAAATAAACACAATTAGACTTGATATCTTGCTTTATTACTTGCCTTAAAATATGCTCATAACGATACCTGGGCCGTAAAAATGTAACTTTTCGAATTCTTCGTTTAAACTTCCTTCACAGATGTTTTTAGGATGAGAACATAGATGGTATATACTCTTAATCGGTCAATCTGTGTACTGCACCAACCCTTATATTTCTATAACACATCTCGAACATATTTTTAATCGATAGTTACTCCACTACACATGTTATCGTTAATAACTCTCAGGGCTAGGTTAATCAGGTGGTCTGAATAGATATTGAATAGTAACAGGATCAGTAAATAACATTGTAGTATACTTCTTTTCATTTTTGCACCTTCTATTAGTTGATTACCTATCCTAATAACGCAATTTTTCCCAATCAAACAGAAAGTAAAATTTGAGTACGAGGGAAGAAATTGCTTCTCTGGTGAAGGTCTCATTTCAGTTGGAATTCCTCCGCAAATTATTATGGGTCCTCTTCTCCTTGTTTTTTATGTAAATGATTTAGCTTTAGACATTACAGATAACAATCAGAATACTCTTATTGTGAAATTTGTAGAAGATACTAACATTTTAACTATAGGATGATAATTGAATAATTTATTGAATATCGCTAATAATAGATTAGATAAAGCACAGAGATGACTCAATATGAATAAACTCGTAATGAACAGAGAAAAAACAAATTATATCCGTTTCGTCACTAAAACAAATAATAGTACCTTACCAGAAACTGTCTCAATTCAATCGCAATTGGTTACTCTAAACCAAAGCACAAAATTTCTGGGGGTACATATTGGCAAAAATTTAGGTTTTTTAGTGCATATAAATGAGATCTGTAACAGGTTAGCACCTATCTGCTATTCTTTCAGAACAACAGCAAATTATTTGGACGAAAAATGTAAACGAGTTGTATATTTTTCAAATTTTTATTCTGTGCGATTTGAAATAGTTTTCTGGGGGAAGTGGTAACTCTGAACAGGTTTTTATATTATAAAAAAGAGCAATCAGAACTCTACTTGACTTGAAATACAGGGATTCATGTAGAGCTAATTTTAAAAAGCTAAACATTGACTGGAACATACATATATAAATGTATGTTCCAGTCAATGTCAACTTTTCATTTTTAAAAATAGACATAAATTCTTGAAACACATAACAAACCCTAATATTAATACACGAAACAATCTCATAAACTATAATATACCAATACATAGACTAACAGCATCTGAGAAAATCACAGAATATGGCATTAAATTCTTTAATAAACTGCCTTGCAGCATCAAAATAGAAACTGACATAAATAAATATAGAAAGTCTGTTCAACAGTTGCTCATACACTTTGAACCGTACAAAGTGTAAGAATACCTTCAAGCTGACCTGCGGGGAGACTGAGGGCTCTTATCTGAATCTAAATGTCACTGCTATTATCATTATATCTTAATACTACTTTTATGTTAAGTGTAAGTTGTTACAGCAGCCATTATAAATTGTAATTGACACCATTCTCTCTATTGACAATTTATATTTGTGTGTAACTTGTGAATCCTGAGAATAAATCACCATTGTCTTTGCTTTTATCCCTGTTATGGAGTAAGGAAATACACGGTCTTTCCAGACCGTTTCCCTTCAATAACCCACTGAATTAAAGCATATTTCTCTATTTTTATGAACATTCACATGTTCAAAGAGCTCTAATTTCTGTTTAAATGTCTATATCATCCGTAACTTTTTTATCCCTAGTGTACAAGCTGTTATTTTTTTGTATTTTTTTTCTTAAAATATATTTATAAATAAATATCGATACCTCAGTTCAATAACGTAACAAATCAAAAAAAATTCAAATTTTAGTTATTGCAATCCTAGTATTCGTAATACATATCTGTACCAATTTCAATACTGAAATAAGTCGAAATTCGTCTTTTAGTTCGTAGAGGGCGTAATCAATTTATGTAACAACTCCAAATTTATAAATGTTTTTGTTCAATAGTGTAACAACTTAACTTGTTACAGTATTGAATAAGAAGGATTATTTTTTCAATGTAACACGCGGTTTCTTAGTTCATCTTTCTCTAAAAATGAGTGAATTTAAATTAACTAATATGAATAAAAAGCCTTTTGACTTCCGTGGTGCGTTCATATTATATTTGGCAAGAACCAGTGTTAAAAAAATCAACGAAAATGCAGTGGTAAGAAAGTTTTTATGCAACACAATTAAATATAACCCTACTTTTTATAAATTATAAAAATGTTTGATTTAGAAGACAATAGTTTATTGTCCGACTAAAACATCTGAAGATCAACGTAGAAATATGTTTAAAGCTTACTGTCAATTAGGTTCAATTGACGGACAAAGAGGCTTCATTGATTCACATATTTCTGAAATAACGCCAGTATACAGAACTACAAAAGAAGGTAGTAATATATCTAAAAATCTAAAATATACTTGAGAGTCGAAGATAAAGAAGTATTCCATGTAAAACTTTCTTCGAGAATACATTATCCAATCAACAATAGGACTATTCAACAAGGAAGACATACAGGTGGCCTCTATATATGTAAATAAAAATAAATTTTTGGTTTGTATATACCTATTCTGTGTGATAAATGTCAACAAAATTAAGACAATTACACAAAAATTTTTAGAGAAAGGTCACACACAAAATGAAGGTGACAGCACGCATGCCACCATAGAAAGAGAGAAAAAGCGTGTTATTAAAAGTTGTCCAATTTACGTCCCTGCACAATGGGCAAGTATACTCAAATCAGCAAAAAAACTGGGATTCCCTACAATGTGAATGAAATTTGCACAAATATATTTATGATTGAAATTCACTAAGTAGCGAAATGGGTAAAAATTTCAGTAAAAATACAAAAAAAGAAAAAGTTATTTGGAATGACTTAAAAATTATCAAAATAGAAAAAATGCATCCGAATATAATTTTTTATAAAACTTCTTATGCACAACATACTTTCAAGATTATTGACATGGAACGAAATAATAAAAAACTCAGGAATCAAGGACAAAATAAGGAAATCCAGCTAAAAGCAGCCTTCAAAACATGAAAATTAAAAAAAAATATATAGAATATAAAATACGAAATTTCTTTTTCTTCGTTTTATCAAATATTCTAATTTTGGACATGTTACGCTATTGAAGTAATGTATCGAATATTTATTTAATTAATTATAAACAAAGTTCCTTTATTGGAACCGTTTCTGCCAGCTCTACATCGAAAGAAGCAGCAGTGTCCTTATATCTCGTTGCAATAGGGTTCATTCGATCTTAATAATCCAGTTACGTATCGGGTATCGTCGGAATCGTTCGGAGCGCACAGCCACGGTGCCATGTTTTATCCATTAGCTATCTATTCCTGTATACTAATTTAATAATTACGAAACGGTATACGAGTAAAGACTGTAATTGAAATCTGCATAATTACGGACATAAAGAAAATTACGATGGAAACCGATCTGTGGAGTAGATTGTATCGTTAGTTGAAGGAGAAATATTCGGGAAATTTGAATAAAATCAATCAATGTTCCGAGCGCATACCCTGTTTAAAATTTTAGTATACAAAGAAATCTTTAGTCCAGTCCAAAAATGTAAAAAATATCCATTTACGACTTGTATATTAAAAGTTTATTAAAAAATTTATGTACACCAAAGTTGTTGAATGTTTTAAGGTAATACAAGTTAGTAAATTTTGTGTTTAGGGCATAGAAGTCAGTGGCGGGCATAAATAGAAATTTTTAAGAACCTTTCCTCTCTTTGTACATCAATTTTCTTTACCAGATAAGTTTAATCTGTAACACTGACGTCAGCAAGAAGCAATTGCCAGACCACAGCAGATAAACTCGGAATACAATGTACCGGGTGGT